AAGGAAGCAAGGAAGCAAGGAAGCAAGGAATGAAAAAATGAATGAATAAATGGACAAGTAAAATACACAGTTCGAAAATTAAAAAAAGACCGGCATGCATTTACTCACCCCATCCAAAGATATAGTAATACATCATTCTCATGCTCTCAGTTCCATAGACCCTGACGATCTTCATGTACAAATGAAAGCCTTCAACACACATCCAGGAGAATGAGGCTAGGAACAAGTAGTGCAGGATCCCAGCTACGATGCCGCACAGAACCTATCCAAATGGATGGTTATTGTCGTTAAGTAAATATAAAAATAAACAAATCTTTCAATTTTACTTTTTGAGGTTTTGCMGAGGAAGTAAATTATATTAACACCGAAAAGCACGGTGAAACTGAAAACTGAGGCTCTGGAATCAAGGAAAAGACCTAACCACAGGCAGCCCAAGCAATGTATCTGTGCTGCTCATGCTGAAAAAATCGCACAATGCCGAATTAATCCAGAAATCGAACCTGAAGGCCCCAGAGGTCAGAGGCAAGTGCACTACCTGCTACGCTACTCTTGACGTAGCTTTGTGTGTTTCCTACGGGCTTGCTTTGTCGTAATTTTTTACCATCGTTTGAAACTACGTACCAAATCCAAAAATGTCATTTAGTTTTTGTTCGAATGCGCATAGACTGATTTATTCCAAGTCTAAAAAGATATAACTAGCTAAAAACTAGTGTGAACTGCGTCGGTGTTTCTAATGAAACAGTAATGATGAAAAGGTAAATTATACACCGTGAAAAGATGAAAAAACTTACTTAAGTAAGTTTTTCCATCTTTTCACGGTGTATAATTTACCTTTTCATCATTACTATTCCAAGTCTAAGCATTCGAAGCTCGATATGAGAGAAATTCAGACGCTGTGCATTGCAGAGGGAGTACAACTAGCAGAGAATCCGGGGGAGATGGAAGAAAACCATATGAAAGTCGAGCCAGATAGAAATGATAGAGAGAGGTTGGGCATAGCTCAGTGCCCACTACTAGTGTCTTACAACGTAGCCAGGGTCATATTCAAAATAATAAGCCTTAACAAATCTAAATCACAAGCCTTAAAGTCATCTTATTGGACCGTATTTATCCTAGCTGTTGGATGACTAATCTCTTCATACTCACCTTGTGTGTCGTGGCATCTATACCGATCAGGAAGAGAAGCTGTGATAACAAGATGGATAAAGAGAGGTGCATATGGATGCGATGGCGATCAGACGAGAGTGCTCTGAAAACAATATAAGGGATACATGCGATAAATATTTGGTATGAAGTGATACCTGTTTTAAGCAACCTTGTATTCTGTCTGCTAAATAAAGGTCATTTGCGACGTATTAATTTTRGTAAGTCAAAGTCTGTTAAGATATATGTATCTTCTGATAGAAGAGAGGAAGGAAGAAAGGGAGCAGAAATAAAAAAAGAGGAAGACAATAAAAGAACGAGACGGAATGGCAAAAAGAGGGGAAAAGAGTGGAGAGGATAGAAAGGGAGTAGCGTAGGGAGGGATGGAAGGGAAGGGAAGGGAAGTGAATAAGGAAAGAAGGAATCAAAGAAAGAAAGAAAGAAAGAAAGAAAGAAAGAAAGAAAGAAAGAAAGAAGTGCAATATATCAAATTATACTTCATCCACTGTCACTACCTTGCCTATCATTTTAAAATATAACTGTAACTTACTCGATTGAGTAAAATATAATCAAGGTAATAGACAGTGCAGCAATAGATAGACCACAACATATGTAAGTCAATAGGTCGAGGGCAAAGGCGTGGTGGTCTGGAAACTGAAGCATAGTCACATTATTACTTTATTACATAGGACTAATACTTATATATCGGTTAATACTAAAAAAAACTGACACGCCATCTTGGTTACATAATTTAAGAAAGGCGAGCAACATTTGAAGGTGTGGATGGGGTTTAACAAATACTTGACAATTAACATAAGGTAGTTAACTGACAAATAACCTTGCTAAAATTAGTAGTTTTAAAAACAGTTAACTGATGTTTCATTATTTTTGTTAATGGTTAATATCATGGTCAGCGCTCAAATTGGCTCCACAAAACATATAAAAAACTTAAAAGTCTGTTCTTTTGATTGCAACAAGCCCACTGTTAAACATTAGAAAGGAGATCTTGACTACGCATTACGCATTAAGTTATGCATTAAGTTCTACATGACGGGCTTACCTTGACGTTGGTAGTTGAGAAGAGGACAGCAAAGGTCGTAAGGTGAATGGTGGAACACTGAATATGCGTGTTATTGGATGAAATAAACTCTACGCCGTCTTTTTTCCAAGCACTAAAAAGAAAAATACACCACAAAGCAGAGTTGTTAAATAAATTTTCGTGAAATCTTTAAATGGCAAAATATTCTTAAGACCCTCCTTCCCCTTTGAAGTTCCCCAAAAAATAACTATCCCCCCGGGTAATCTCTCGTAGCTTCTTCTAAAAATTTTCCATCCCTCCAATTCTCTGAAAAAAATTTTCAAACCTCCCCTCATTTTACTGGTAAAATTTTTTCCGATCTCCCCTAAATTTCACCTGCCCCACCTCTGCCATACATTATTAACGCAGCCTAACTACGTGTTTCCAAAAGCACTCAGTGTACTTTGCCGTGTTAGTTACTTATTTTCAGTATAAATATAAATTTTGTTCTTACTTTGATGACTTGTTCCAGTATACACAATGCGGAGTGCTTTCTCTTAATGCGGTATTCTGAAAATAAAATGTGTGAATTTGGACCACGAAATAGAATACCCCCCTTATGTCAATACAGCGTCGTGGAAATCCAGAAAAGCTAATACTGACTTCTTTTGTAATGTGAAGAAGAAGAGAATGAAAGGAGAAGAAAAATAAAGAAGAAGAAGATAAGCAAATAAATGACATGGACAAGAAAGAAATAATGGAAAAACGGGGGAAATGATAAAAGGGAAAGGAAAGGAAAGGAAAGGAAAGGAATGGAATGGAAAGGAAGATTACCAGAGATACAAATAAGTCTTTATTGTTGACGATCAATCATAAGTAGTAAAAATAAAAACATTTTTATTTAAGTGTCTAGTCATTCTAGCGCTTTCGCACTAATTGGGGACACTTTTCACTCTCATACACTATCGCTACATTTAATGTTCTATGCACAAAACGCTCAACTCACGTGTTGATTTTTACGGGAGGAAACCGGAGAAACCCCTCGTAGCATAGGAGATAACACCAAATTAAACAAACTCAATTCAAATATGGGGTGCCTGCATGGCTCAAACCAGTGACCCGAACCTTTGGAACCACAGTGGTGAAAGGCGAAGCGTTACCAGTCACCAAGCTACCCTAAGAGTGCAGACATGTATTTAGCTCACCTGGAGGGCAAAGTTTATAAGTATTGGAGCAGATAGAATCCTAATGTTCTTGTTATTGATCAGTATTGTTATTGCTACCAGATGAGACATATTCTGTGTAATATGGTCTTCACTAGTAAAAAAAAATATACTGTCATTGAAAAATATCTACAGTGAAGCTCCTCTTTTTTTAGGTAACGGCGCTTCTTCGCGCTGGTGCCGGTTGAGAATAACCTCTGAATCTACACTCACTAAATGCAACCACATCTAAATAAACATCTTCGATTGACAATGCTCCCTCATGATCATTAGTACCGTATCTTATGGGAACGTCTCAAATAAAGAATGTAACTCTTTGTAGATTTTCACTTTCATGCAAGGTTACCCCTAATTCAACTCTTCCTAAATGGAACCCACCCTAGGTAAAAATAAATAATAAATGATCTTCGATTTTCTCGTACCTTATGGAGCTGTCAACATCTCTTGGAAAAAGGCCCTCAACGTCTTTGTAGACTTTTATCACGACTGACACTTTATCTAGGAAAACAATTGCAAAGGCATAGCAAAAGACACATGGATTTTTAAACTTTATCCTAAACTTTGTATGGCACGTCAGTTTGATTGCTCAATAAAAATATGTGAGGTAACACCTTCCAAAGTTATCGCTACCCTGAAACAACCTCTGGCCGATCAAAGTCAGGGCAAAGCTAACTCAAATTGGAATTTAGCTTGTTAGGTTTTTGCCGAGGAAGGAAAACTAGCAAATGGACACGAAGAAAACCATCGAATCATGGGAGAGACCTATAAAACTTTACTCACTTCTGATGTCGCGTCCAGGAAAGGAACCAATTCCGAATTCCCAGAGGTCAGAGGCGAGTGCACTACCAATACACTATCCTTGACTCTTTCCTTAAACACTCTTAGAGGGGGCTGGTACGGGGTACTCCCACCCCTCCTGGCTAATTGGGTTAGAGTTAGTGACCAATAAGCCTGAAGCGAGATGACGTTTTACCCCCGTCTCTAGACCATAATCCTTTTCACACTGTTTTTGTTCTTTAATTATGACTATTGTTCCTGTATTCTCTAAGGAATCAAAAAATTTAATATGAAAGAGTTTTAAAAACTATTATGTTATAGAGTCGGGGGTAAAACGTCATCTCGCTTCAGGCTTATTGTTTTAACCTTGATCATAAAACGATGATCACCTTGTATCCTGGTAAGCATAATACCTGTATTGGTAACATGTGTTGCGATAGTTTCACGACGTAGGATAACAGAGTCTTGAATGGTTGTGTCTGTAACTTGTCTTGTGCTTATGGTTGAGTAGAAGCCTTGGAAATCTGCTTGGGCATATTTTACGATCTGAATAGCTGAAACCAACAAACAAATTATTCAAATATATATATATATATATATATATATATATATATATTTATTACTGCAAAAAGTTAGGCTATCAGAGCCCCTCCGCAGGCAAAAAATATTTTCTGTTCCTAGAAAGTAGCCATTTATTTTATAATTCAACGTTAACGGTGAATTCTTATCTTAGTAGCATTAAGTTGCAAAAGACTAACATATCGAATAGACTACCCAATACTAGCTATAAATACTATATGAATGTTATGTCCACCTACCCATATTTGTGCCTAGATAACCGAGTCTGGCAACGATACCCGGCGAGGATTGTAATATTTTTCCTGCTGCTATTTCGCTTATTTCGTCCATGAGATCAAGCATAGTAATCTAAAGATTGATGACATAAGATGTCCTTAAGAAAATGAAATTATCATATAGGTAGTTGTCTATTTTATTTCATCTTTGAACTAACAAAACATCATTTTTCTAGCCACACCTCGGTATTTTTAAAATTGGAGGAACTCTCTCTTTTTCCTTCTCTCGATCTTTCTCGCTCCCTCCTCCCCCCNCCCCCTCCCCCTCCCTCCCTACTTATTTTCTCTCCATTCCTTCGATCCTTCCCTTCCTACCTTCCTCCTAGCCTAACTGATGACACAGGACTTCTTTAGGAACATAAAATGATAGGTATTCTCCTCTATACTTTATTTCATCTTAAATCTATCTAATGCATCTGCGTCTCCCTCCTTCGTTCCCATCCTGCCTCCCTTCATATTCCTTCCTCCCTCATATTTTGCAAAAACGTTTCTTACCAGTTTTGAATCGTTCCATATTTGTTTATTGCGTGGATCAATAATCTCATCAACTATCCGCGAAACATTGTTAAACAAATCCCAGAAATCCTAAGGGAAAAAATACCATGGAATAAATGATAATTTCTTTCTTGGGGGAGGGGAAGGGTGTCGGGGCATCCAAATAAATGAGGGATTTTAATCTTGGAAAAAATACCCCTACAAAGCTTTCAGAATTTATTTTCTTGTTATATAAAAAAGCTATATATAAAATAGTTTTAAATTTTTATGTAAACGGTAACTTAATTAATGATGCTTTTAAAATATTGTTTTTGTTTTTTCCATCAGAAATTAACAATAACAAAATATAAAATATAAATATAAACAGATAGATTTTTAATGAGCGAACTTGTCCAATGCATTTCTTTTTAATAGATATCCAGCCAATCAGAGCGCGCGTTATAGTGTTGCTGTTTAACAAGATATTCAACTATTCACTTCCTGTAAAATCAATACCAAAAGTACTAAATTGGAGTTTATATGCACTTTAAGAAGGAGAACAAACTCTGACATACCCAATTATCACCGAGAGAGATTACTTGTGACGTATTGGCCAGGATCATGTAGGTATCCTTCAGTTCAGTCAGYGCTTCAACACATCCATCGAGCTGGATTCTGGTAAGTGATTGGTTGATGACCACGTAATAAATGTCTGTGACCAAGCCTGCAAAGTAGTTTGCAAGCTCCAAGGGATTGATTAAACCAGATTGGTTCTGTCAAAATATGTAGAATGTATGTTAAGGTGGTATTACACCAAAAAAAGGGAGCATTTTGAAGCAAATTGTCAAAATTCAAAACATCTTTAATTGTAATCTTTTTAAAATCACTTCTTTATCATACAGTTGATTTTTCAATTTGCCGAAATGGCTACATGGTAAATATTTCAGACATGATATTTTTCTTGTCTTTTAGACAAATGCCACGAAATCAACAAAGAAATCTAACAATGTATGGTTCTAGGAGTGGCAAACAAAACTAGAAAATTTAAGAGATACAAAAAATAAAAATTAATTTCTCTAACTTGTAGATTTTTTGTGATATGTTTTACTTATTACCAAAATTAAATCTACAATAGTGAGAAAAACTCATCTTTTGTTGGATATTGAGTCCTAAAAAACTATTTAGAAATAATTTATAACAAATTGTGTATTTCTTTTTTCAGTAGTTAATGTGTTATTTGGTTTACAATAACCACCACTTTTTTCTCCTTCGGGTTCGGGTTAATTATTGACTATGAAAATATTTGGTCCACCATGATATTTTTTTGTCAGTGTGGTCTTCTCTATAACATGCAATAAAGTGTTCGTTGTCATGCTTTTTCAATAAAATGTTCATTTGATTTGTATAATATCACCTTAATGTACTACTGGACTGAATGAATGCGTGAACCATAATTCTGCGGCCACATTAAGGTAATATATTCCCTTGTTTTGCACTGCGCATTTTTCTGCGCATGCAGCTAAAAGCATGGAACTAACAAAGCTTAGGCATATTTCTTTCGGAAACTAAATAAGAAACATGTTTAAAACCAATTTTCTCTCTCTCTCTTTTTTTTTTTGAGTACCTAGAGGAATAGTTCTTATCGTAGTTGAGCACGCCACCCCAACAAACCAGCAGTATCGTGATGAACGTAGCATCAAAACGAGACTATCGGGTCGAGCTTCGAATAATTTGCTAAGAAATTTACTACAAATCTTCGAGGGATCACTACATTTTGATAGATATCTTTGAGATACAAGGTATCTTGTAGTCTTTCTAACTATGGTCAAACACAATATAGCTTTTGGATGTATGAACAGTAGTTTGAAGGATATATGAAATATGAAGGGAAGTTTATTGGATCGATTTTGAAATATTTTGATGGGAATAGTTGACATGTGCAATTTTTGGGCGTTCGTAGAGACGCACATATTTGCATTTTTCACGTAGTATTTCATAAACGAGAGCGAGTGTTGGATCAGGGGTTCCAATGACTTTGATGGATCTAATAGTATAGATTATCTAATTAATGTCCATGCAAAGTTTCAGGACAAAGTTATTATAATATTACTATGTATCATTCTTTAGGCATATTTCGTACCTTTAAGCAGGAACTTCGTAGCTGTATCTGTCGAATTTGTTTATTTATTGGATCTTGGTCAAGTGCCAGTGTTCGATGGGTTCCCAGGCTATTGGGCAGGCAGTCTATTAAAATGCCAAGATTAAAGGTTTGGTTACTGAATAGCGTGCTTTAATTGAGTTTTGGGTACATGCACGCGGGAGGCTGCTAAGCATGAAAGAATCGTAAAAGTGGATGATGGTACATGTAGTGTTGATAGTGATGATAATATGTGAGCGATTCTTATGAAGTGCAGCTCTCTCTATATATATATATGCACTCAGCCCTGCAACTGACGCCTTAAGTCTATACTAACATTTAACAGCATGTGACGTTGCTTCACCCCACGAATAGGCAACATTTGGAAATGACGAACTTGAATTCCAAGTCTTGTAGAACTTGCCAGAATAATCTAGAACACATAAAACAGATGTTTTTACCACTATTGTGAATTTTCTCAGTTTCTAATTGGTCTAGATCCGGGGGAAATAGGAGGACATGCCGATAAATTACGTCAGCAAATCACTCGCGTGCTTAAAACCCCGTTTTTCTTGTCACAAACCATCACAGCAGACTCGTTTGCCGTATACATGTATGACTTGTGCATGTATGACTTATCTCTCGTTTGAGAAATACTACATCTTAGAAGATGCAGGGGAACTGGAACATCAACACGGACTGTAATTAGGAAACATTACTACCACACTCATGTAAATTAAGGCGACCGGCTGCTTTTAAACGTTCATTATCCTTAAGATCTACGTTATATCAATTTTAAGAAAATATCAATGAACCCACACTTTAAAAAAAATTCATTCAGTGTGCTTCAGTAAACAAGAACTTTTCTTCTCCACTCCTAAAATGAACTTTCCCTTAGAACCAATCTCAATTTTATTGGGCGACTAGGTGATATTCCATAGGTATAACGGTCTATCCACAAAGAACAAAAAGTTTTATTTGCAACAACGATCATGGAACGTACCTCTAATCAAGAGGAATCCAGGATCAGATCTTAAGTTTGTTCCAATACTGCTGCCAGGTTTCATCGAGATGGCCTCTGGTTGTTCTATATTACCCGAAGCTGCTACGATCTGAACAACTCCACCTGCCCCGCCAGCACGCAGAAACCGATCTGATACCGTATTGATAGCACTGGCTAATCCTCCAGGTGAACCGTCTACTTCTAGGCGACTGTTAGGTTGAAGAATCACCTGTCCGTTAAGATCAATCGAAAAGAAAGAGATGGCTTTAACTGAAGACATGCTGTGTGTGTTATGTCAATTAATAGTAAAGTAAAGATGAAGTCTGGCCAAATGGAAATTGATTTAGGGGCCACACTAAGACTCACCAGCAAGCACAATTTCATTCTTTTGTAGCATCAAGTAATCAGGAATCCCACTATACCGCTTGACCCTGATAGCGTACTAATCTATCACACGCCCCCTCCCCCCCTCCCCTCATAGTGCGAGTAGCATAACCAATCGAATTCGTCGAACGTGGCACGGTCAAGGTCACAGTAAACCAAATCTTTACGGCATAGCAAGTGGTAAAATAACAAATGTCTCATGATCTATATTAACCAATAACAGACTTTAAATATTTATGCACAATCATAATTAAATTTGATATCTTGTAATCACCTCCGAGTAATGAGCTCACCAAAATCCTTCACAAATGACAAATGTATATAAGCCCAAGACTTTCACCAGAGTTTGACTCTGACAGCCTATTATATTATAGTTGTATAGCAATCTTTCTCTTTGTTTGAAAAACAATAACTTCCAATATACCTTTCGTGCCTTGAGACGAATTGTTCCTCCTGAGCTTCCACTGTGTGTTTCACTTGTTGAGGAAACATGCTGCGCGTTGGCCGATATTTTGGAAGCTATATCAAAAGCGAAAAAAATTCAATATCACTCAATAGGTCCCTTGCATGTGATGTCAAAGTAGCTCAATTTGTAGAACAAAACAAAAGAATTCAGAATTCAGAAAGATAGCCGTGCCTTTGCAATGAAGCGAGATGAACGGTGAGTTTGCAATGATAAAGGCCTTTTTTAACACCTTGGACAATTATTCACATGCCTCTATCATTGCAAGCTCACCGTTCGTCTCGCTTCAATGCAAAGGCACGGCTACCTTTCAAGATGGCGCAGGGAACTGTGAAGGGGACTATTGGAAACCTATTGATATGTCTTCCAGATTGAGCTGCATTCCGACGTGCTGCAAGGGGTCTATATAACATACACAAACATGAATTTTRAAACACAATGTTATAATGGATTATGTCTCAAGCAAGGGGGGATTGGATGATAGTTTATCTGTCAAAGCATTAATGTAAAGTACTTAGTGCCTTAAAAATGAATTGGAAATAACTAAAACTTTTATCCATTTCGTTGTTGTTGTCGTTGTTGTTGTTGTAGCGTCTGCGGTTTCAACACAAAAGACTACTTACACAAGCTTATGGTTCCATTATCAGCTTGAATTTCTACAGCTCCACCCCCAGACCTGGGCATCTTATAGCTGTCTTTAAAGTGCCACCCTGGAAAAAGAACAAAGGAATCAGCATTTTTTATTTGCTAGTGGTTATAGTACTAGTATCAATGTTGACGGTATTGGCGTTGAGTGTGAGTTGGAAGTTGATTGTGATAATGAAAATAAAAGTGATAGTTGTAAGCTTATGATGATGAGGTTAATATGTTGACGATGTTAGTGAATATAAAGATTATGGCAGTGATGATGTTAATGATGATAGTGTTGGTAATGATGATAATAATGAGAATAGTGGTGGCGTTGGGTGACTGCACTGATGAGTAAGGGTGTTTTCTCGTGTTTTTCAAGACGACGTGAGAAAACAGCGTAGAGCGCGCGCGAAAAAAAAAAAAAAAAAAAAAAAAAACGATGACAGACGTGATTCTTAAAATAACATAAAACGGTGCCTATAATTGGGGCAAGCATGAATACCAGATTCCTTCTCTTAGTTCATTTACTATGTGTACATATATACCCTATTTGGTACAAATATTTAATACTATATGTGCATACCTGAACTTCCTCCAATCATTGTCTTTATATTTTCCCTTTCATAGAACCAGCCATAAAAGTCAGAGCCCGCTTTTTGTGCACCTGCCCCCTTGCCTCCATGTCCTACCGCACCTTGTGATGACAGATAATGTGCGTTTACATCACAACTCTCATCTGATACATAACCGGGACCTGCTCCTATAAAAGTAAAATGATAAACAGTGCATGTAAGTCTACTGCGCAAAAGTTCAGCTCTACAGCGCCTTTTGCGTGGACAGCAGATACTCTATTTAATGGCACTTAGTTACTTAACGTTAAACAACAATAATAATAATATATAAGTTCTTATATAGCGCATCCTAATAAAACTCGAGGCGCTTTACAATAAACTAATTTATGCATATGATATAAAAAATATATATACATATATAAATGTTATGTAGATAAAACTAAAAATGATGTAAGATTTAAGATATATTAACAATATAAAAATTAATGTAGAACTAAATGTCAACAGTATGTATTTGCAAAAAGATATGTTTTTAAAGATTTTTTAAGGGTTTCTAAAGTTTCAGAGTTTTTCACTTCTTCTGATAAAGAGTTCCATAATATTGGGGCAGCAACGGAGAAAGCAGAGTCACCATAGTAAGAAGTATTCGTAGTAGGAGTGATGCCTGTTCCTTAAACTATATCGGAAGACGTAAGATAGGTAAGAAAAATAAGCAAAATGAGTATTATTTTGAGCACATGCAGTTCCTTTTATGTTATTTCGCAATGCGCATCTTTTTTCAAATCTTTGCTTTTATCTTTCTATATTTACCTGCCACTATAACCGCTACGAATTGGGCCACGCATTCTATGATCCTACGAGAATATCCACCAAGGCACATGTCCATCGCAGAAGCATTAACAGCACATGTCATACTGATGTTACTTCTAATAGTGATGTCCCCAGTAAGAGACTGGATAGACAATCCATATTTACCAGACACATTCACAACGGACCCTTGCTCAAAGACTACGTTCCCACTAAACACAAGCTCTGCATATTTATACGGCCACTGTGTTGCCATTCCGTCCTTGAGTGTAACATCCAAGGGAGTGATTTGCTTCGAAAGGACACCTTGTTGGACCTTGATCAGTTTCGCTTCAGGAACTGTTGTGTTGATTCTTAGAATATCACCAGAGCCGAGCAACAAATCTGTAAAACAATAAATAGAGTGCATGCTATATGAACGTGAAACAAATACTAGCTACGTAGCGTTTAAAAACATTTAGTTGTCAATTAAATAAGGATTCACTCAAACATGAACAAAAAAGACGAGGTATTTGCTTTAATTAGTTCTCAATATTTGTTATCGCAGTAAAATATCCAATTAATAAAAATATATCTTTTTTTTCATGGGATTTGTCAAAAACATCAAATGCAATTTTAATTAACGGACGATTCACTCTTTAGCCATATTTTAAAACAAAAGAAATAACCTAGACTTTTGTTAAGTAATATTTACGATCGGAGTGGCCGTGTTGTTTACGGTATGGAAACTTTCGCCTCAGCATACGGCTCGAATTTATGTACTGTTTAATAAACGAGCAGGATTGTTTTATCGGGTTTAAAATACGCCTCGTGGTTTTCGATTCGAAAACACGATCTCATAGTCTATTGAGCTACTTCAAAAACCTAGGTACAATACATAAACCTTTGGTTGAATTAGAGCGACCATACATGTCGCGAATATGGACTTTTATTTGATAGACGTTTGTACATCAATGTCGTACGCAGTGAGATTTGTACGTCACTGCCATGCGCAGTGAGTTAAAAAAGTCTCCCACAAGTTAAAGACAGCATGCCCAACTCAAGACAGGGGCGGCAGTCGACAACATTTTGTGGGTCGTCGATAATTGTATTTAAGACTGACATTAGGCTCTAAGGCCCCATCCACACGTATCCGGAAATTTTTGTATCCGCAAATTAGGCCCCCTCCACATGTATCCGCAAATTTTTGTATCCGCAAAATAGGCCCCCTCCACATGTATCCGCAAATTTTTGTATCCGCAAAATAGGCCCCCTCCACACGTATCCGCAAATTTTTGTATCCGCAAAATAGGCCCCCTCCACACGTATCCGCAAATTTTTGTATCCGCAAAATAGGCCCCGTCCACACGTATCCGCAAATTTTTGTATCTGCAAAATAGGCCCCGTCCACACGTATCCGCAAATTTTTTTTTGCGAATACGGGTGTTGCGTCCACACGTGTCCGCAAATTTTTGTGTCCATATCCGCAAATGCTACGAAAACGGATACGTGTGGACGGTGAAAACGATTCGAATACGCTGCTGTGTGGACGCAAACATTTTCGTATCCGCAAAAAATAATTTGCGGACACAAAAATTTCCGGATACCTGTGGACGGGGCCTTAGGGTTTCGCAGAGCTTACGATTTGGGTAATGAGTAGGGTCTGGGAACGAGAATGTCGAAGGTTCCTTCGATTTTCGTTAGAAAGCTGAGAAGTATGCTGAATAACAATATCAGGCAATGATGGCGGTATTACAACAAGTGAAGACAAGTGAAGATACTATGGTTACACATAACAAATTAAAATTTTTACTTTTGATAGAAAAACCGCCAATATCTTGCTCAGCAGTAGGCCTAGGTAAATGAAAAGTGTCCGACACTTTGTCTTGTCAGCACATGCTATTATCATAGCAAGCTGTCATAAAGGTGTTTCTGTTGAGACATTAGCAATTAATACAAAGCTTTACAAACCGCCAAGGACGATCACTTTAAGCTAAAAAAAGGTTTAATCATAGTAACTCTTGAAACCCCATCTGAAYTTTGAAAAGTCATTCAAAAATCGTTTTATATAAACCGTGAAAAATATAATAGATTGCTAGGATCTATTAATGCTTATTTATGTATTATACTGATTTACGTGATAGCTAATTGTTCATGCGATATCACGAAAAAGACTTAGAAATTTAATTTAGAAAACAAAACTGTTAAAATATCCCGATGGATAATAATAAAAGCAAAATATTGAACGACATTTTAAAATAAAATATAAAATATAGGAGGAGGACGCAAGAAAGAACGAACAAACGACAGGAAGGAAGGAAGGAAAATGAACAAAATAATGAACGAACGAAACAACTAAGGAAAGGGATCGAGGAAGGAAGGAAGGAAAAACGAAGGAAAAACGAAGGAAATACATGTGTGAAGAACTCAAAATAGTAGCTCTATTTTTGATAACTGTGAAAGAAAATGGACATAAAAATATAGTGCAGGGGGTTCAAAAGATTAAAAAAAGAAGATGAGACACTTGCAAACCACAGATGTTTCCAGTTTCCATTTTAATTTCTCGTAATTATTAATCCTTTTGTTAAAGGGTTTCAATCTTTACTAGCCGTATTAAATAAAAAGGTCATTCTTTTTGAGAAATTAAAAGTAGCACACGAATAGTTTATCGCCGTCGTTTGGTCTGAAGGATATAATAAAAAATCGCAATAAAAGGAATAAGCCAATAAATTGTGTATTTTTGAGATAATGTTTTTTATAGGTCAAAGGCTGGTAAATTCTAGAAAAAAAGATCATAAGACGAGAGAAATGAATTACTTGCATATTAAAGAAGCGATCGGTACAGCAATAATTATTTTAACCTTGTAAAATACCGACAAAAAAAACTAAAAATAGGAATATTCCTTTACTGGGAAAACCAAGAGATGGTACAAGAATAAACAAAGAAATTTAGACTTGATCTTTGGAACAAGAGTTTTAAAGTAAAGCACTTCAATTTCTTTGAAAAGCAATACAAAATTCACACACAAAAAATTCTCATAAAGCATTCGGAATTATGACTTGGAATTTAGACTTGATCTTTGGAAAAAGAGTTTTAAAGTAAAGCACACTTCAATTTCTATGAAAAACAATTAAAACTCCACACAAAAAACTTATAAAGGTTCGGTGTTATGACTTGACTTTAAATCTAACTTCATAAAGAGCCGAGTAAAATTGATCAACGAATCTAGAGCTCATTTTTTATTTCTTTCAAGTTTCCTAAATCGAAGATCAAATATGCCAAAGATTAAAAAACCGTCAATAAAATTCCATACAATGTCAACGGATATAAATATCGCTTGGATAATATTGCATTCATATACGAGATATTCCTAATGTATGAATTCTGATTTCCAAGTTAAAATGTTTGGTCCCTATTCCTAGTGACAAACAGGATGATATATGGAATTCTAGGTACAATGAAACGTTGTTTTTGTTTTTGTTATATATATATATTGAAAGGAAGGACACTACAGAATGTTAATCTTACCTTTATTGCCGCTTTGCACTTGGTTAACCTACAAAAATAGACAAGAGAAAAGACTGAGACACTAGAGTTCAAAAAAATACCAACAAATGAATGGTTTACTTACAGCAGAAAGAAAAACAACCATGCAAAAGACTTCATACATAACTTTTGTGGTGCAGATTACAACACAGTTGTCTTATGGTTCCATGTTGGATTTCAATATCATAGACGGTGCTTGTAGCATATCTGACTTAGGCGACAACCACCTGTCTTTTGAAGAGGCAATAGAAAAGAGATCTGGGGGTCTACGAGTTGAAAGGCCACTTAAATTAGATCTCGGTATGGTAGGCCTAGTAATGCAAACTAGACAATAATCTTATTATTCTGTAAGCCTCATTTTGAAACGAAAATATCGGAGCAATGTCATGTCACATGTATGACCGGCTAGTTATTGATTCAAAATTTCAACAATTCAAATTCATCTAACATCCCCTGAAATTTTGAAAATAGATAAACGCCAATCTCATCAAGTAAAACCTTTATGAAAAAAGGCTGAAAAAGGTGCATAAATGACTCATTTATCCAACGTTGATGTGATAAAATCGCGCGCTTTTATGAAACGACATGTGGTCGCGAAACATCTAAAAAGTAATGGGAATGCAAATATGAAATATCAAAACGTTGTCCTCCTTTTTTCCTGCAATTAAATGTCTTTTTTTTTCTTTTTTTTCTTTTTTCCCAGGAGATTATGAAGTTGGTTCACGTTGACAGTTCGATAAAGGGAACGGCTTAATTGTTATTTACCTAAGTCATAGACCTGTCTATTATTAGTCCTTAATTTGAGACTCGCAAAGGAGAATTTCTTGATAGCTATAGAATTTTCTTCAATACCATTATTTTTCTAATGGAGGCAATCGACGTCAAAGCTAAGGTTAGGTGGTTGGGTGATTGCTTAATTGATATATGGTTGTATTGACGATGGTATTTAATCAAGAATATAGGAACAGACTAATATATATTGGTTATTAGTTGATTTATGATAAGTATGTAGACTATGTGCTTCTAGATTTGCATGGTTATTAGTGATTTTGATTGTCAGTTTTGATAAAATTTTGTGAAATATATTATTGCAATAAGGCTATTGGAAAAATAATTTGTTAAAGAAAACGATAATCCAGCGGCTGGGATATCGGCTGGCAATAACAGAGGATGTGTAATAATCCGAAAAAAGAGTTAAAGAAAATAAAAATACTTCAAGGACATTATCTACCGATATCTCAGCGAGTCAGCAGGGGCAGGTTTGTTTCATAACCTTTTCAACCAATACAACGACCGCACTAGTTAGTGAACGGGTTCCACTAACTGTTAAAAGACTGTTCATATTTTTGTGTTTGCTGGCGTAGCTTCCTCAACCAATCATTTTATTTCACTCTCATTCGTTTGTAGAAGCAGAAATTATTTGTTTTCAATGCATTATGTTTCTGTTATTGTTGTTTTTTCCCCTTACTGGACAAAAATAAATTCGGTAGGGTTTTACCGTCTGATATCCGTCCTTAGAAAATGTACCACGTGACCTCTTTCATATTTTAAGAAATTACTTAATATAAAAAAAACATTGTATTTCAAAGCTCGTTTTKATTGGTCGAAAGGATATTTTAGATGGAAGTATCTGAAATGCTTGAGTCATGAGTCATTTCTTTTTCCGCACTCTATGAATTTGAACATTCATATAGGAAAAATACAAATACAAGATTATTTTCATAATTTGTGTGCTTGTTATTTTATAAAATTATCACGTCATGGATCATCTCTCTTATCCGCCACCCGGATGGCTCAGTTGGTTCGAGCATCTGACTTTCGTGCGGGAGGTCGGTTGTTCGAGTCCCGGCCGGACCACCACTCAGGGCCTTAAAATAACTGAGGAGAAAGTGCTGCCTTTGTTACCACATCTACAAATGGTTAGACATTTAAATGGCTCGGATGATCATTTTAAATGGCGGTCCCGTCTCTCCACATTTCATCATAACTAACCAATATCGCAGGGACGTAAAAGAAAAACTGAGGACGTAAAGAAACCCCGGCAGTGACCATCATCAGTGTGTACACCTCATAATAACTATCTCTCATGATTGTAAATTGCACTAAAAAAGCAATCTGACATTCGCAACTCATTGTAAAGCGCCTTTGTTTTTATACATATAGAAAGGGCGGTACATTTTGACAACATTTATCCATTATTTCACCCAACGATTTGACCGAACATTTGACACAGCATTTTGACCCAAAATTTAGCCAAAACTCTTGACTTAACATTTGACTTAACATTTGACCCAACTTTAGCCAACATTTCCCAGCAATTGACCCAACAATTAAATGGCGATGACTGTTACCTATAGGAAGGCATTACATTTTGTCCTTTTTAGGTCTTACCTTTATCGTCATTTATTTCTAACTCCAAAGGGGAGTGACTAGTCACTCAATTCCAATGAATCCGCCCTTGCCACATTTGACCCAACATTTACATAACATTTTGACCCAGTGTTTCTTCATCATGTGTTACTTGGCAACCACTGGTATTTTCGGCTGTTTCTGTATGTATTGCTTTGCTTTCTCATTGGCTTTGATAACTTGGTATACTGAAAAAATGAAAAAAATATGTTTACATACCATCACCACTATTGTCATGGTAAAGCATAAAGTATCGTGGTACAGTAATACATAAGTAACCAAGAATTAATATTTTAAGAGATATTTTATCACATTAACTGTCTTGATCTTATAATTATCTGAGGCTTTTTTCGTTTCGAATGAACACGGTAGAACAACGGTTATCAACCCCCCCGGRTTATAAGTGCCCTCCCTCCTTCTAAAATAAGCCCACCTGTCTGCGTGTGCTAACTGAAATTTACGATCATGTTTCAAACATTTAACAGTTAACCCACCCTTTCATAAACCCACTGCACACAGCACAGTAAAAAATGTTTTTACTTTTTTATAAAATACAAATTAGAATAGCCATTTTTTTGAACACGATGCCAAAACAGGAAGTGCGCCAGCGTGCTATGTGCTCTCTCAACCAATCAGAAAGCGAGATTAATCTATGATAGGTATTTGATAATTACAAATATGTATCTAAAAATAGACAAAAATTGAAAGGATACAAAGAAACGAATTCGAAAAGGATGGGATGGGAGGAAAAGGATTGAGAAAGAAAGTAAAGTAAAGCAAAAGAAAAATGGAAAGGATCAAAAAAGGAGAGAATATAAAAGGAAAGAAAAGAAAAGGAAAGAAAAGGAAAGGAAAGGAAAGGAAAGGAAAGGGAGATAAAAACAAGTAAAAATTACGAAAAAAAAAAAAAATTTGAAAGACAAACGAAAATGTAATAAATCCCACTTAGAAACACATTGTTTGCTAAAACCGACAGCTTTTCATGTTTATCTTTTACCTTTATGTAAAAAAGGAATAGGATTACATACCGTTTCACTTTAATGTGCGCCTCAGCATTAAGCTAACACAAATGCTAATACTACGACTTAAAAAAAAAAGTTTAGAAGTTGATGAATAGCCTAGCAGTAATAAACAGTCGAAACATTAATTTTTACCATAACCCTCCTGCTATAAAAATGGTTTTATGTCAGGTTTAGAGTCAACAAGCCATGTTTGGTTACCTTTTAAGAATCAAACTAAACCAAATTTCAGTTAAGCCAAATTTCATTAAACCTCGCTAATGGTAGAGTCGTGACGTCATAAAGATATCAAAGCTGTTGCTGACTATACTTAGAAATTTATTTTCACTCTAGATGGCAGGATGCTTTTATGAAGTTATCTAAGTGAATATTACTGCATGAAAAATGAATCTGGAATTGAATTGAGAAAGACAAAAAAATGTAATGAATTGAGGACATTATCTCACATCTTTACATTTGCTGCAATAGAAAAGGTTTGAGGCGATAACTGAAAAGGCAAAGCCAAGAGGCTGACAAACGTCAAGGTAGAGTGTAAACAAATTAATATCAGGATTGAATTGTTAGTTCAGCATTTTACCATTTGAGACTTAACTTGAGAAGGTACAAAAAATTTTTCAGTAGTTTTGTAGTGGGGACATTTGTTGAAATTATCTGTGCGAAATTTTCCCTTCCAATTTGATTAAAGAAGGTACGAGAGAAATTAAAAGACATTGAAAGTAAGGGAATAGGCCGTTAACTTGGAAGTCAGTAGAGCGTATTTGTGTGAGTTTTTTTCCTTTCTATTCGATTTAAAAGGTACCGTATAGAAATTCAAACATTTTGATGCATTTGCTTGATAAAAGCGTCTAGACTGACACAACGGAAGGTACAGTACAGACAAACAACTAGAATTATATATTCTATAACAGCACTCCTTACTTTCGCTTTTTTCCCCTGAAAAACGTATTTATGAAGTTAGTAAAAGATGGCGTAATGGCAACAATCAAGAATTTGATGAAGGATGATTTAATGGTGACAATCAATAAGTTGATGATGGATGATGTAATGGTGACAACCACGAAGGTGATGAAGGATAATTTAATGGTGACAATCAAGTAGTTGATGATGCATGGATAATTTAATGGTGACTTTCAAGAAGTTGATGATGGATGATGTAATGGTGACAACCAAGAAGTTGATGAAGGATGATTTAATGGTTACAATCAAGTAGTTGATGATGCATGGATGATTTAATGGTAACAACCAAGAAGTTGATGAAGGATGATGTAATGGTGACAATCTAGAAGTCGATGATGGATAATGTAATGGTGACAACCAAGAAGTAGGTGAAGGATGATTTAATGGTGACAATCAAAAAGTTGATGATGGATATTGTAATGGTAACAACCAAGAAGTTGATGAAGGATGATGTAATGGTGACAACGAAGAAGTTGATGATGGATGATGTAATGGTTACAATCAAGACGTTGATGATGATGGATGATGTAATGATGACAACCAAGAAGTTAATGATGGATGATTTAATGGCGACAATCAAGAAGTCGATGATGGATGTAATGATGACTTTCATGAAGTTGATGATGGATGATGTAATGGTGACAACCAAGAAGTAGATGAAGGATGATTTAATGGTGACCATCAAAAAGTTGATGATGGATATTGTAATGGTGACAACCAAGAAGTTGATGAAGGATGATGTTATGGTGACAATCTAGTAGTCGATGATGGATGATGTAATGGTGACAACCACGAAGTTGATGATGCATGGATGATGTAATGGTTACAATCAAGACGTTGATGATGATGGATTATGTAATGGTGACAACCAAGAAGTTGATGATGGATGATTTAATGGTGACAATCAAGAAGTCGATGATGGATAATGTAATGATGACTTTCAAGAAGTTGATGATGGATGATGTAATGGTGATAATCTAGAAGTCGATGATGGATGATGTAATGGTGACAGCCAAGAATGGATGATTTAATGGTGACAACCAAGAAGTAGATGAAGGATGATGTAATGGTGACAATCAAGAGGTCGATGATGGATAATGTAATGATGACTTTCATGAAGTTGATGATGGATGATGTAATGGTGACAACCAAGAAGTAGATGAAGGATGATGTAATGGTGACAATCAAGAAGTTGATGATTTATGATGTAATGATGACTATCAAGAAGTTGATGATGGATGATGTAATGGTGACAATCAAGAAGTTAATGGAAAAAATATAATAAATATCATACGAATATGTCGAATTATATGTGAAAGAAATTCAGTTAAATAAAGGTAAGTTGATGAGATATACTGGATAAATTAGATTTATCTAGGACGCGTAGTTGCGCAAGCTGCGACCGGTGAGAAAAAGATCCACAAGTTCCTTCAACTTAATAACTAGTCAAAGCACATGGGATTCTTTAGGTGCTATAGTTACTTTTAATGTTTAAACATTCTGTATGAATGACTTACATACATCAAAGCTGATCCTATTGAAAGATACAGCAAGAGGCATTTGTATTTCTTGCTAACTAAGTGCACCCTAAACCTTTTGGGCTATTTCGAATTTGCTTCCAATTTCAAACCACGTATTTTCATATTTTCTTGAGAATGAGATTCAAGTCGCAGTAAGAAAAGAATCAAAGAAACAAAGAAACAAAGAAACGGATAGAGGAAAAGTTAGACAAGAACAAACAAGTAAAGAAGAAGAAAAATACAAAAATACAATTAAAAAATGAAAAAAAAAGGTCAAAAACCGAGTGAACGACTCAGGCTAATTCATCTGCATTAAAAATAACCATACGTCCTGGCCTGTAATAACTTGATCAGTGAGCATAGAAAAAGTGCATCTATGAAAATTATCGTAACATGTCCGGTTTTTAATTATTCGGTGTCGATTATCCAGGCTGTTTCCTTGTCTCCCACTAACACTGAATAATCGAGGTCGTGATAGGGATTATGAACCAAGAATAGTCAGATATAATGTATTATGATGTGGAGGTAAAAAATGGAAGTGAGAAAAGAAGAAAAAATATTTTAGCGGGCTAGATATTCTGTAAGGGAACACAAAAGTGAAATGTAAAAAAGTAAGCAATAGTCGAATATAATTTTCTCATTCCGTGTTACCGCTGTGTTCTATGACTACAGACTGGTATCTGTGAATAGCTGACTTATAAACGAGGCTAAGCTTGTGCAAATGACTGTGTGGTCTTCAAAACAGTGGTATGCATCAAATGCAAAACTGGTGTATTGGATATAGAAGAGAAGAGAAGAGAAGAGAAGAGAAGAGAAGAGAAGAGAAGAGAAGAGAAGAGAATTCATTTAAATCAACCTATATTTTATATGAACACTTACATTACAATTTAAAGCCAATCAGAACAGACGTGTACTATTTTATTAAAAAGAAACCGTGATAAATCGAATGTAAAATAATAAATTAATGCATAGAAATCAAACAAAGCAATGAAACGGCAAAAGGAAGTAAAAGCAAAGGAAACAGAACCGAAAAACGCAAGGAAATGAAACGGGAAACATGAAAGCAAAACATGAGGAAGTATGAGACGTGTACGTGCGTTGATCGTGCGTTAATCCTAATACGATTACTCTTTTTTATCGTTAAGTAGTGACAATCGTCATAAACAAAAATCAATTTACTCAGCTTTTAATACAAATGCTATGGTAATAATATGCATAGTGCTTTTATTAGAAGTCGCGATGTGAGCTAACTGTCATAATGGCATTATAGAGAGCGTCTTAGTGTCTCGTGCGTGTCTCTTTGGGAAAACAATAGGCTTAAGGTCATATTTTTGTAAAATAGTTTTTAGAAAAAAAAATTGCTTGCATAATATAACAATAAATACTGTTTGCAAAGTTTTATAACAGGGAATGAACGAGAGTCTAAAGGGGAGCGTCTTAGCGTCCCTTGTGTCTCTTAGGGTAAAGGGAAAAAATAAAAAGTGTCGATGTGTGTGAGAGAGACAGACAGAGAGAAAATCAACACACAAAAAACCTTGCTTTTATAAATGAGTGTCAGTAAGTCACTTCTCTATTTCGACCAGTTACTTCCGGAACAGTCCTAAAACATTTTACCGGTACATGATACAAAACATGAGCTACTTCACATAATACTGGAGTTATATGTAACTAATGGCTTACGAAAGTGTCTGATTTTCAAGTGTGGTTCTCCTACAATCATTCGCCTGTTCTAATTTGTACCTTCTTGAAACAAGAAATTGCGTCATAAGAAAATCCTCAGTAAAAACCACAACAAATGAAAACAGAAATAAAACTTGGAAAAAAAAAAAAGGAAATGGGAAGAACAATGACAAAAAAAGTAATTGAAAAAAATGACCCAAGATCTCTATGGCAATCAGACACATCAAAACTAAATGATTGAATGAACTTCTACAGGTGACGGAAACTGGATATATTTCGCCTGAAAATATCCTTCAAATAAAAGAAAGTTATCTACTAGTGTCGATATTTTTCTAATATTTTAATTTTAATGTAGTACTGACGGGCTAGTCTATCTTAAATCGTTTTTTAATGTTTTTATATCTATGAATAAAAATAATAATCAAAAATATCTTCCTCATGCACTTCACATAAGTAAGGGGGGAGGGGGGGATCTAGTGGTTGCTTAGCAGCCATCGATTCTCAAAAAAATATTGCGTACTTGCCTACAGTTCATAACATATTTATTTAGTGTTGTGTAACCAAAATAATAATATTGAAGATAATAAAAGGATTAGACATCTAATGTTTTTCCATTGCAAACCACTTCTCATTCCCTAGACCATCATTCTTTTTGTTTTAACGGTTGCACATAAAAAGAAACATTAATAGGGATGCAACTAAAACAAAGAATCTTATTCTYAAGCGAAAATCATGTGGTCTGAAATGGAAAAGCAATTGAGCCTAAGCTTGAAAGGTCTGTTCAAATCTCAAATATTTTCAATAGAATAAAACCCGAACTTAACTATTGTACTAAATTTCTGGTCATTATTAACCTTATATTTGATATGAAGTGATACCTTACAAAGGGGTCAAAATGATGATAAAATACTTCCTGTTTACTATGCTAGTTATAAAGTCGTGTAAACATCAATGTTAGTTTGTATTCTTTAATCATACAATGTAAAACATTCATCAACAACACTATCAACGTCATCATTATTAATAGTTATTACAATGAATGATGAACACAAACTTTAAATTTTTGGATTTTTCTGTACTTGTACTATTGTCATATTGTCAGTCTTTAAAAACGTTTAGTCACCTGAAAATCTACAGCTGGGTTGATATATTTTATATGTTTCTATCGCTTGATTACTATTGATAGACTTGAGATATTTTACCATTCACAGTTTCTCCTCCTGTGAACATCTTGTATCTACAATTTGGATCAAAAAGCCCTCTTCTTTGAATATGATTTTGATTTCTCATTTGAATCTTCATATGATTTTTGATATCTCAYATAGATCAACTTTCTAAGTCTTTAGCTTCATAAATAGGTATATGTGTACTGGTGCGTATACATTATGCAGTTTGCAAAAGTTTTGCAGAGCTCATACATCAAAATATCAATATATGAACTATTTCTCAATTTTTTAAATACAGAGATGTTCAACCAAACTTTAGCCAAATAGCTAGTATYAGTGCTCACAGTAAACTATGATTGTATGATTTTAACAAAAACATTGCATTAAACCTTGTGTGTRTATATATATACGCATGTTTTAAATTCTGCATCTCATTTGATGTCTTGCATCTCATATTAGATATATGTATAAATGTATAATAAAACCTATCTGCAATCAAGTGTGTGTATATATATATA